ATCATTTACTCACTATCAATACCAATAAAAAGTTCGGCCGATGCCATGTTGTATCAAAAAAAAAAAAAAAAAAAAAATTTTAGTTCTCAACTTTTAATTAATTTAATAAATTCTTGTATATTAAAAATTAGTAGATTTTTTTTACATTGATTATCATATAATACTTTAGTAAAATATGAAATATGTGTATTAAAAAGTCTTGAAAAATTTTCAGACACTATATAAAATATTTTATTAGAATTAAAAATTATATAATATATAATATAAATGCGAATAACTTTTAAATAAAATATTATACAGTATAATTACAGTAATTAATTAAATTACTATTTATTATTTCTAAACTCCTAGATCAGTTATGTATTAATTCTACACTTGGAATATTGTCATTACATTTATATATATCATTTTTTTCTTTCACTTGAACTATTTTTTTGGGTTGGATTTCTTTATTTATTGAATTATCTTCTTTATCTGAATTATTAAGTTCAAATAAATATTTAACCTTCATCTTATTAATGCTTTCAGTTTTATTTTCAATTTGAGAATTTACATCATCAAGAGATTCATTATCATTATCCTCTAAGAGTTCTTTGAAACTTATTCCTTCTTTATTTGATTCAATTAATTCTTCCTCCCTTTCAACAACTTTTGTAGTTGATTTTGGATCAAATATCCTGACCTCAGCTATAACTAAATTATTTATATTCTTCGATTGATTATTAGCATCTCCTGACTTATAAAAAAAATCTTTACTTTTTGATATTTTGGTTCTTTTTTTTTTCTTTTTCCTCAATCATATACAATATAGTTATTATAGTGGAGCTGACACAGCTGATCATTAATCTGAAGCTGATCAGTAATGTCTAAATGTTCTTTTACTCTAGCAAGCAGGTTTCTTGTTAGTTTTCTAAACTTTTCTTTGAAGCCTTGCTGACTACATATTGCACAAGGTCCCTCGTTTTGACGTAGCTTTCCTTTTGCCATCGTTACTAAGCAAGTTCAAAACTAAAAGGGTTCAGCAAAAACTATTAAGGGATCAGCAAAGTAAACGTTATAACGAACCTTCAGTTAAAATTTTGTCGTTGCTTTACTATGTAGTGTTGCGTAATTTTAGTATGCGACTTTTTAGATATTTAATTGACCATTTTTGATCATTCTGATTGGTTCAATAACACATGCAATCTAACTTTGATCGACCAATGAAATAGATTTTTAACCATGCTGATAATCAACCAATAAAATCGCGAAAATATGATAAACCCGACGAAGAAAAACAAGCGAAAAAAAGAGAAAAACGCGAAAAATATAAGAAACGGCTGTTGGAAACCACTTTGGTCATTAATAAAAAATGTCGAGAGTGAAATTTTACCTATATTGACGACTCTAACCCTAACGCAAAAAGGCCCTAACCCTAATGTTAATAAAATAATGATTTTCACGTAATCTACCCCGCTTTAAGGACCCCCCTAATTTTGTGGAAGATGCCTAAAAGCACCCATTAGAAATCCTTGGTTAGGATTTTTAGGTTCCTGGGGATTTTTGAGATTTTCGGGATCATGTGGCCTCGAATCCGCTTTGACTAGATAATTAAAATTTTATATTTTTATTAATCTTATAATCTTATTTGAAATAATACAATAATTCTATTTTTAAATCTTAAAAAGTCATAAAGTAAATTTTAATTTCAAAATTTATTTGCATAATACAGACTAACCGCATAAACATTATATAAGGTTTCATTATATAAAGGCAACTTTTCAATAATGCCATTTATTTATTACCAATTTTTTTGATTCTTTTCGAATATGTTTTGAATTTTGCCAAGTTGTAACTAATAGAAGGTTCTCAAAAATTGTAACGCATAAGACTTAAAAAGAGAGAAAAAAAAATTAAATTTGAATGAATAACGAATTTAAATACAAGCTAATCCTAATTTGAATTTTCCTAATTATTTATAATGTTTCAAAATTGAGTCTATTGATATTTGTACCTTACTATACAACCTTTATGACAATTATGGCCAGGAATATTTTTATATTGACAAGGTTGAGAATTCTTAGAATTGAGTATCTTAATTATTCGAGACAGTTGTTCTTTACTGTACAAGTTTTCGAAGCATTTTATTTCTGGATCTAATAAATTTATTTCTTCTGGATCTAATAAATTTATTTCTTTTGGATCTAATAAATTTATTTCTTCTGGATCTAATAATTTTGGTTTTGGCCCACGTCTTTTGTTTTTCTGTGAAAGTGCACTCATGATACATTCGGTACACCTTGGAGGCTTTGAGCATCTAGTTTTTAACTTTCTACAAGAATCGCACGCTGTAGTTACGTTATAGCGGGTTGATGAGAGTTGTGACATATTTCCAGCCTCTTATAAATTAGCAGTTCGTAATAATTATTAGAATTTTAAGAATATTTAGGTAATTAAATGAAGAGGAATTCAAATATATGCTACAAAATGTTTAGATAATCTTATTGATCAGTAAAAATCATGAATATTATCCGTATAGTTAAATTTTTGAGAGGAATTCAAAGGTAAAGGAGGAATGTTAACCAACTCATATTCTTTTTTTTTTTTTGACATTAATTCTTTCGGAAAGTCTATTACATGCAGTTCTTAAGTTTGTTACATCAAGACTATTAACTATATTAAATAAAGTAATTGCTATAGTACGATGGCTATAATTTTAATATATCTGTTAATGATTCATTTGTAAATCTATTTTAATCATCGGAATCTATCGTTTATACTACAGACCTGCCCAACTATATTGCGGAAATTTTTTCACCAAGAGCATAAAGGCTTTTTTTTTTGTTATGTAAATTTGTCAAGATAAATAAGATTGTGTAAATAGTTTAATTAAATACGCAGAATTTATTAGCCTTGTTGAAATTTTAGTTTTATTTAGTAATTAATACGTATAAAAAAACGATTTTCCTTTTATGTATTAACTTTTTTAAAATTTTATGATAACCTTTTTTTTATCACGTAACCGCCTTTTCTCCTTATTAATTATTTTTATACGTAAATCCATATCATATGCTTTTTATTACGTAATTAAAACGTGTAATGATGTATCTAGATAAGTTTTTATTTATCATCCAGATCTGGACTAATTGAATACGCAACACAACAACACAAAAATCGAAATGAGAATCAAACACACCTTATCTCTAAGGTTGTTACTTATAATATTAATATATTTTAATACTAATCAAATGCTGGAAATTTAATCCCGTAAGGAAAAAACTATAAGGTTTTCATTCATTTAATTTGGTCACAGTGTTTTGGATTTAATGTAAGAAAATAGACAAAATAATCAATGCAAATGAATTTGAAACCAATTATTCCTTATCGAATTCAATAAATTTATCCATATTTGTTCAAGAAAAAATCTTTATATATCTTATCAATGAATGTGAACTTCTAAGATAACTAACCACACTATTTTTCTGGGGTTAATATGATTTAGATGCATAATTAAAAATTTTTTTTTGGTTAAAATAATAGTTGTACCATAAAATTTTTCTGATTAATTGTGATCTAGTTGTGATCTAGTTGCATTAAATGTCCGTTTTTATCAAACTTAAAACTTTGTTTAAAAATTTTTTTATCTGGTGAGTAATAGGGACTCTTTTATATACTACATAAAGTATTCTATAATTTAAATCTGAGATTGCATCTTTTAATATTTTCATTGGTCGTACTCAAAGACATAAATTAATAACTAATAAACTCATAAATAAATATTCGATGAATATATGATAAAATTGGTTAAGATATTAATGTGTGTTATATCATAATTTGAAAGACCTTCCAGTTAATTAAATCAACGAAAATTCCTGTATTAATAACGTGAAAGAGCATAAATTCGTAATCTATCTACATCATAAGTAGGTCGACTATGATTGTTAAACGAAGATAAGTCATGATATTTATACAATAACATGCCACATCTATGGCTTATCACAAGTATAATAAAGCATTTAATTAGGCGCGTTTGCGAAATTTTGGCATTAGCCCAACATATAAAGTGCGTAATCATAATGATGCCTCTCGAAACTATTTTGGTGTGTCGAAACTATTTCAAGTGTTATCGAAATTCGAAATTGTTATTTTCAATAAGTTTATTTGCAATATAAGATCTGTCAGATAAATTACTTTCTTTAAAATTTAAAAGTTCTGTAAAATCAACACAATATTCAAAAAAGAATTCAATATCTCCCTCTAAATTTTCATCAATTTCGGGTATTGAATGTAAAGAATTGTAGATAACTTATGTTAAATCGCTTAAAAGTATAGTTTTTTCTTTAGTATTAAAATTTTTTTTTTTATTTCTTTCTCATATCATTATTTTGAATTATTCTTGTTCGCTCTAAGCATTTTTTTATAGTAACTTTTTTCTTTAGAAAAATTTTCATTTTTCTTTTTTTGCTTGAATAACATAATAATTTATCTTAGGTCAACTCGAGTATTTAATAATACACAGTAGTGATTTTCTTTAGATCACTTGACATTTGTAAACGAACGATAATCAAAAGAAATTTTATTATTATTAAAAATATAATAATAATAATAATAATCTTCATTATTGTTACTAATAAATAACGCTGCATTTAAATTTAAGCTCAGATACATAACTTTTTTTTTTAGATTGGAATTGATAAATAAATAATCTATGTCGATAACCGAGTTTTTTAATCAAACTATAATACTCTGTTTTACATGTGGAAGATACCATTGTCAAATTTGCAAATCATTTGGCCAGATTATGATATTAAAAACTTTGAACTTGGTCAAATGATCTATAAATTTAATCAGTTATAAGTAGTCGGTTCTATTTAACATGATTTTTTAAGACTTGAAGCAAAAACCCGAAAAATTCCGGCATATATACGGTTCCGAGTCATAACCCGGGTCGAAAAAGCTTTTGTCGGGTTTGACCCGGGTCACGAATTTTCGATCCGGGTAAGAACTCTACTTTATAAATTGAAATCGGTTCTTCAGAATTTACGTTGAAGTTTCTAAAAAAGTCGTGGCTAAAAAAAATTAATTATAGCGCTTTGCAAAAGATGTGAACATGTGATTTGTGAAATTTAAGAATCTATACTACGTATATATCATATTATTGCGCTTTGCAAAAAGGTGTGACCTTGCAGATCATGATGTCATGTAAAAATCACGGGAAATTAGGTTATTTTCCGAATTTTAGATTTTAGATAATACGTATCGGTATATACTAAAATATTTGATCAATAGGAAATTTAGAATCACAGAAGTTTTCCTCTATCATCACAAAGAAAATCACAGGTCACCTTTTTGCAAAGCGCAATAATTAGAAATATTACATTATAAATATATTTAAAAATCTTTGAGGTTCTTTACATGACAAAATGATCTGCAGTGTTCACATCTTTATGAATACGTATGTCTCTTTGAAACAACTAAGTTACTGTAAAATTTCCTATTTTAATATTTTAACTAGACAACGAAAAAATAAATAAATAAATAAATAACAAAAATAAGAAACTTTTAATGAATAGGTAAAATTACGATTTTTAGGATTCTAGGGATTTTCAGGATCCTCAAAAGATTTTCAAGATTTTCAGGAGTGGCAAATAATGTAAAGATTCCATTAACAGATAATGTGTTGCACAATTTAATGTTTATTTTTATAATAACGATAAATTAAAAGAATTTTTGTATCACTTTGAATAGAAATTCCGCTATACTCTATATTTTTTATTGATCTTTGATTGAATAATAACATAATAATTTTTTTAAAATACTGTAATTGAATATTTTTACCATAACTAGATATTAAAAATCATAAAGTAAATTAAACTTAAAATTTACTTGCATAAATACAGCCTTACTCGTTTTAACATATATTAAATTAAGCCAACTTTTCGATTTAGATTTGTTACGCGTGCATATTTCGAAATTTTATCTTTGTGTTTAAACGAAAATGTCTATATGGATTATTATAAAGTAGTGCGTTTCATTATCGATTATTTTCGAATATGTTTTGAATCTTGCCAAATTATAACCCCACAAACTTCATAAACTTTTTTTTTTTTTTAAAAAAAAAAACGATATAAACGATAATATACGAATTATCATAGTTACTCTAACCCGAATTTTCCAACGATAAACATTGAGTTTACCTTATGATACATCCTTCATGACAATAATTATGTCCAGGGACATTTTTATATGGACAAGGTTTATGACTGGTAGAATTGAGGATTTTAAATATATGAGGTAATCGTTCTTTACCGAATAAATTTTCTAAGCATTTTATTTCTTCCGGATCTAAGAATTTTTCATAATCTGGTTTTGGCCCACGTTTTTTATTCGTTTTCGAGATAGTGCATTCATGATCGCGCTTTATGCATTCGGTACAAGGAATGCCGCAGCATTTAATTTTCAATTCTTTACAAGAATCGCACGCTGCGGTTACGTTATAACGGGTTGATGATAGTTGTGACATATTTCCACTCTCTTATAAATTAACAATTCGTAATAATAATCGGAATTTTTAAGATTTTCTTGTGAATATTCAGGTAATTAAAGGAAGTGGAATTCAAATATATGTTCATAGATCAGTAAAAATCATGAATACCATCCGAGTAGTGAAATTCTTGCTGAACTGCCTTATTATATACATTTTTAATGATCATATAAACATTGATAAGTTTCTTTTTTTGACATTAATTCTATCGGAGAGTCTATTACATGCAGTTCTTAAAGTTTGTTACATCAAGAATATTGCTAATATCAAAACAAAGTAATTGCTATAGTACGATGGCTATAATATTAATATATCCGTTAATGATTAGTTTGATAAATTTATTTGTCATCGGAGTCTATCGCTTATATTGTGGACCAGCCCGAATATTTTGGCGCGGAAATTTTTTCGCTAAGAGCGTAAAGACTTTCTTTTTTTTTTGTTATATAAATTTGCCAAATAAATCAAACAGTTAAATTTTGTTAATTAAATGCGCTGAATTTATTCCTAATTATCCTTGTTAAATTTGGCTAATTGATTTGCATCGAAACGATTACTATTCATAAGGTTATGAGTTCTCCTTTTTTTGAAATTTTTTAAGTTTTTAACTATAACTGTTTTTGGTCGTCTTTTCTTTTTTATTTACGTATGACCGTTTTAGACCGCCTTTTTCTCTTATATTAATTTAATTTCGTCAAATGCTTTTTTTTTATTATATAATCAAAAATGTGATGATTACATTCTAGATATATTTAAATCCAGATCTGGATTAATTGAGTGCAACACAAAATCTAAAAAGACTTATGTAGTGATATTCTCGTGATAATATTTTCTAATACTAATTAAATGTCATGACGCCGCCCTGGAAATTTAATCCCGTATGCCAAAATTAATAAAGTTTTCATTCATTCATTTCAATTTCAGTGTTTCGGCTTTAATGTAAGAAAATAGACAATATAATCAATGAAATTTATCCTTATTTACTCAACAAATCCCTTGAGAGCATATATCTTATCTTATCATTTAATGTTAGTAAGAAATTTATCCTTATTTATTCAAGAAATCCCTTGAGAGCATATATCTTATCTTATCATTTAATGTTAACTTCTAAGGCTAACCAACCAACCACTCGGATTAAACCAATAATTTGAACCAATATTATCTAGATACATTTCTCGTTGTGTCATAAAATTTTTCCGATTAGTTATGATCTAGTTATATTAAATATTCATTTTTCCGGTTATATTATTAAACTTAAAACCTTGTTTAAAATTTTTTTCTAATGATATTATCAAACTTAAACTTAAAACTTTGTTTAAAAATTTTTTATTATCTAGTGAGTATTATTGTATATGACGAATTGCTTACGATATTTTATTGTATGATAATCGAGTATATCGTAATTTGAAAAGACTATCGTAATCTATCTATATCATAAGTAGGACGGCGTAATTATTAATAAAAATAAAAAAATTAATTTTGTGTTGAAGTAATCATAAAATTTATATAATTATGTCAGACTGTTATAATAGATCAATATATAAATACTAATAACCTATAAGTACACTTTTATTCAGATCGATATAATTTAGACCAGTTCAAAATTGTCTTAAATTGTAAGTTCTTTTTTTATTCGGAAATTAATTTCATAGCAAAAGGTTAACGAACAAATCTTTTTTGTTTATAACGATCTTATTTTTATATACACAACTTTTTAAATACGAAGAATGATGAAGTATTTTACGTTCGCTACTCTTTTATTGATCATTACTTTTATTGAAGCGACCATGAACGCTATCGTACCAGGAATATATTTTGACCGGATTTTTTTAGTCATATTTGAAAATACTGACTATATTAAAGCGATACAACAACCCTATTTGCAAGATCTAATGAATCGTTCTAATGGTCTTCTTCTTTCCAACTATTTTGCGATTGCTCATCCGTCCCTAGTATGTTTTAATCTTAATAAATTTATAATTATAAATTTTTTTAAATTTATTAATTAATCTTTAATAATTACATCATAAAATTTTTAAAATCACTGATTAATAAACAATTTATTTAGCCCAATTATATTGCTACCGTTTATGGTTCAACAGCTGGTATCACTGATGATGACGCTCACAATGTTTCTGGAAAAAATATTGTTGATCTTCTTGAAGCCAACGGAATAACTTGGAAGGCTTATATGGAAAATTATCGTATATATTTCAGTTTATTATAAAATCATATCAATATTTTATTTTTAGTAATTCACTAACTTTTAATTTTTTCATACCTTAAAATCTTTTCATAGCTGGAAACTGTTTTACCGGTGATTTTGCTCCTCCGGATACCGTTCTATATGCAAGAAAACATAATCCTTTTATTTCAATGGTCGGAATAAGTACAAATCCTTCTTATTGTTCAAAAATAGTTCCTGCCACTCAACTTGATTCGGACATAACCTCAAATAAGGTACCACAATTTGCCTATTATGTACCAAATCAAAATAATGATGGTCATGATACTGGAGTAGAATTTGCTATGGATTGGTTTGAAGATTGGTTTGAATCAAGACTTCAAAAATCTTCTTTTACAACAAATACTTTATTCTTTATCACTTTTGATGAAGATGATTATGGTGATAATAATCATATTTTTTCCGGTCTTTTTGGTTATCCTGTTAAACCTCCAAATAATCATTCTGATGATACTCTTTATAATCATTACTCATTCTTGAGTACTGTAGAAGAAAATTGGGATTTAGAAGATTTGGGTAGAAATGATGTTAACGCGACTCCATTTACTAAATATTTGAAACATAATTGAATAATACTATTAAATACTGCGTAATAGATAGAATTTAATTACTAATTAAATTTAATAATAGATAAAAAATTTTTGTTAAAATAGTATTATCATTCAAATTCAAATTTTATTACTTTTTCTGCTTAAAATGATTTAAGATCTTTGAATTCTTTATTTGTGTGAGCATTCAAATTCTATTAATTGTTTAGCATAAAATAAAATAATTATTCTAGCTTATTCAATTTACGAACTTGCCGAATATGCAATTTTTAAATAATGATACGTATATCATATCGATATTACTAAATATGGAAATTTTCTGAAATTGTTATGACGAAACGGAAATCTCCGATATTTTACAGCTCTACTTAGCCATTTACCTTTATTATTGACTTGACGCATGACGTTAGTTATCGTTATGCTATTAAAAAGGGGAAATTGTGGAACTTAGGATCGGCAGTGCCTTTTTTTTCGTTACCTGACTTTGTTCTAGCTCTTTAGTGCTGTGGTACAGTACGTACATCTTCATGAACTTTCAAAAACGTAATTTTAGATATATAAAAAAACAATACGTACAAGTATAAAGTAATATATAAAGAAATACAATGAAATAAGTAAAACACGAACAAAAATACCAGAAATAATCGCAAATCCCTCCCAAAAAAATAACAATAAATACCTATAAAACTACGTATTACCATACTAGGGATGAAAATCTATTTTAAAAACTTCAATCGGTGATCGAATCGCTAATAATCGATTTATAATCGATAATCGAATCCTACATATGTCGTTATCACTTATTTTAATATTTGTACGTACAGTTTAACCTAATAATTATAAAATAATAGATTTTTATAGTATTATAATATAGTACAAGATTTTTAATTAGTTTTAGAGGTTGGATCCGTTAGGTCAACTATCCGATATCTGATTAATATCTAAATATCCGGATATTGATTTTAACTGACAGTCGGATATACGTATAGTGCTCATACCAGTCGGATACTATCTAGATAATATTAGATGATATTCGCCTGCAGCATGTGTTGGGCAGCATTAAGAGATTCCGAAATAAATATACATTAGAACATAAGAGAAAAAAAAGTATAATAAATTATCAGGATTTCAAGTTAAAAATTAAATTAAACTTATGTAATTATTATAATATGGTTGTGTATAAATTATAAGCTTAAAATTTAATAGAATAACACTTAAGCATGCTTCAAAATAATATATAATTTATGACAATTCTGCTTATACAGTATTTTTGGTTTAATTTTTATAAAAAAATCTTGCATATGATAACTGTGAACAATTTTCACAGTGATCACATATATATAATATATTATTTAGTTAATTATGAAAAATAATTAATATAATAAAAAATTTTGCATATTATTACTGTTGAAACATGTGCTTGTTATGCCAATTATGAAGAATCTTTACAATTAAAACAATTGTTCTGTTATTTCAAAATAATACTTATAATGCGAAGGTATTCAAAATAATATACAGATGCCTGTTATTTTAAAAATTTATGATATTTGTAAGATATTTAAACCAAAATACAAATTATGAAATTAATAACCTGAGTAATATTAAGAATATATAAATCTAAATTTTTATATATAGCTTAAAAAAAAAAAAGCAAAATTGCAATTGAATTATTATAAATCTTGTTATTATATTTTTGCAATTATACTTTACAATTAATATTTGTCTTATCAAAAAAAAATTAAAATTAAAAATAATACAAAAAATTAAATATTTATAAACTTAGTTGACTAAGTATTATTAATTTATTAATTAGATTTTTTTAAAACTTTTTAAAAAAATTTCTAAGCATATTATTAATAGAATATTTTTTTTTTTTTAAGCAAAGCTAAGGTGAGGCCATGTCTCTATCTTTATTAATAATTTAATTAAAATTTTACAAATGAAATTTTTAAATACTATGAAATACAAGATATACTCTTAAACTATATAACAAGATTTGAAACTCAAATTAATTTATCTATATCTGCAACTTAAACCTACTAGAGTGGTTATGACTCATCTAGATTTGAATATTGATAATATTATTATTAGAAACATTATATTTGATCTATTCAATAGACCAAATATCTAGTTTGTAATGAGTTAATCCTTCTAGAGAATATAGAGAGTTTTTATAATGTTTTTCAGAGTATCTGCATATAGATAACTTCATTTAAGTTATAGTAATTATGTATTAAAAATAGACTTGATTATGTGGTATTAGTTTTTAGAATTGTTTATAAAATTTAATATTATTTGTTTATTTCTATTTAGAGAGTTTAGTACAGTAAGGTTTCTATAATTGCTCATATATTAATTCTAATATTTTTAGAATATAGAAGTTATAAGCTAGTGAGTTAACTTATGAGAGTCTATATATGAGTATAGTAGCTAAATAAGATCATTTAGTATAAGGTCTGTAATAGTTTGATAAAGTAAAATATTATTAGAAAAAAGCTGTAGTAATTATAAAAAATGATAGTTAATAAATAAGTTTTAAAGTTGAAGAAGTTGTGAGAATGAAATGTTGAGATTACTTATTATAAGATTAGATAGTATATTAGATTTAATTATATTAAAAATTAATTGTAAATTAGAGTAAAATAGCTAATAAATACTATCATTAGATTGGTTACAAAAGATATATTGTTTTGTTTTGATAATATTGAAGTAGTATTTATATAATTGAAATATAGTTAGAAGGTTGTTAAGTAGGTTTTTTTTTTTTTTTTTTTTTACAAGTGACCTCTTTGGCTGTATATTTTTATTAAATTTATTATAATTAATTACAAGTAATAATTACAATGTATTTAACTAAATATATAACCTTAGAACTAATTTATCCTTAAGATATATTTGACTAAGACTTTATAACCTGTATTTATATTATCCTAAGTTTTGTTATACTATGACTTATCTGTTTAAGGTTCTTACTATATTCTTCATATTTTCCATGCTTACACAAAGCTACTTCCTAATAGGTAGTTATCTATTACAGATATTTTAGCATTATAATCCTTACGATTTCTTCCTAATTGGGTATTCTAGCTTAAAGGTATCTGTTATTAGCATTTACACAATGCTGAGATACAAAAGCACTTATATTATATTGAGTTGTATTCATATATTGTGTTCATATACCTTTTTAAGAACTCTTATATGTTGATAAGTATAGGCTATATTTCGTAATTCAAAGATTACTCCCAACTAGGTTTGTAATATATAGTACTACTTCTAGCTTTCATCAAAAGAGGTTGGTGTTTAATTTTGGTATATTTTTATATACTGTTCATATTTCTACTACTAGTCTAGTACTTCTAGCTATTTTGGATTATTACATGTCTTTAGCATATGAACTGTCTACTCTATAATTAAAACTTACTCTTTTAAGTTTTTATATGTGCTAGAGGTGTTTTGTATTCAGTAAGGCTAATATTTTATTACTTAATCATATCTTGTATAATACTACTTAAATCTAAAGATTAGTGTTACCTATATCTTCAGATATTATACAAGACAGATTCTTCCAAATTCAGTTAGCTACTAAGCCAGATTGATATTGCTATATAATCTTATATAATAAACTTACTCGCATATGCTCACTAAACTTTTCATATACAAGACTTATTTGTACTAGCTCACTGATCTTTTTATATACAAAACTTACTTATATCTATTCTGCTAATCTTTTCATATTTAGATTTTCTTTTTTGAATTAAACATTAACTAGTATAACTAATAAAATCTCTACTACTTCATTTAACTTAAGATTTTTGCTATATAGATCCTCTGCTCGTAGATTTTATTAAGATTTATTTGTATAATATTATATTCTTTAGATGCTCTATTACACTTCCAATATTCAAATGATATTAGTGCAATGTAATTTAAAAGTTATAACTTCTAAAAACAGATAGAGTTTACTATAAGTTAAATACAAAAATCTAAATAATTATTTAATTCTGTTGATAGTGGGATTTGAACTCTAAATCTCTTGTATAGCATTCTAATAATCTAACAATTATACTAAGATTACTAGACTGATTAAGTAATTTTAATATAGTTAATAAATTATTAGATTATTATATAGTAGATCTAGAATTCAAATTTTTTAGTTAATAAATTTAAAAATTAGATTTGTATATTATAAGACTCTGCTTATTTCTAAAGTTATAATTCTGATAATTAAGTTATATCTAATTAATTTAAATATAAAAAATATAATATAATATTATATTAATAAATTTTAATAGAATATATAAGTAAAGAATCTATATAGTAGAAATTCTGTCACTATAGCAGATCGCACTTAGATACCATAATGGTAACTGAGTGAGTTAATACTTAGCAATAGTCACTAGATAGTAATATATACTAGATAGAAATGTTTTAGTCATAGATTAAAATTATTGATTCAATAAAGTATTAGCATGATTGCTGAAAAAAAAAAAATAAATAAATAAATTTCTTTATAGTCTTTAGCTTTTTAGTAATTTTTTTATCTTTTAATATATTTTTTTTTAGCTTTTTAAGTTTTTCACTAATTAATTTTCTTTAGATTTTGATATTTTTTAATGAATTTTCTTTTAGTTTCTAGTCTTTTTTTGATCTTCTAGTAATTTTTTATTTTTGATATATTTTTTTTTTAGTCATATATATTTATAATTAGCTTATTACTTTCAAGTTCTTGATCTTTAGTATTTAATAGCAAGCTCTCATATAATCTTTGAGTCTTTTAATATTTTACTAGTAATTTTCTTATAGTCTTTAAATATATAAGAAGGTTCACTAGTAAAATACTAAAAGTAGTCTTTTGAAAAGTCTTTTGGTAGTATAATAAAAGCTAAACTTTATTTAGTTTTAATTGTAATATTTGAGTACTACTAAGAGAAAATCTGTACTTTCTAAATTTAGATTTTTCTTTAGTAGTACTTATTTATTATATTTGTATTATAATAAAAATTCTAAATATAACTCATATT